GAATTTAAAATTCTACAAAATGAGGTGCAACGTCACACGATCACAGCATCATGTTACATGAACTGGTCAAGGCCTAACAATCCGAAAAGTTGTAGAAACCTATTTTAAAAAACGGATTATTTCTTTTTCTATAAAATATCGCTAGTTCTCTCTGAATCCTTAGGCCTTAAAAAAAACTGAATTTTGTAACTTTAACAAAAAAATTCTCCAGTTCATTTTTTTTAACTCAGGTAAGTGAAAAAGTCTTTGCAACAACTTTTACTTTATTTTCACAGCTAAAAATTTCGAGGATTTGAGCAATTCACACTGTACATTGTAAGATTAATTTTATTCGTAGTAATTTAAAAACTTTAAAAAAAAACTCTGAGAACAGAAAAACACGATCGTGCATTTTGCGCTAGATACGAACACACCATTAACAACGGACATGGAGATCCAGTGATGTTACCGTGATGCTCCCACACGTTGGATGTAGCTATGCCAAGGTTTTTTGATCCTGAGCTGCACTTTGTCAACCAGCACCCACAGCCTGTAGGATGCTTGCGCATCACCTCTCAGAATAGTGGGTTTGTCTGTACGCGAGTATCGCAAGTATCAAGTAATAATTTAAAAAAGCCACAAAAATGTGCCCAGAACCGCCCATAATAAGCTCGGTAACGCAAAAGCACTGGCTTTTTTGAGTTGCAGACACACGCTGGACGCAATTCTACCAGAACTTCGTGTTAGTATCCAGCAACTGTACTGCGCATGTGCACCATCTGTTCGACATTTTTTTTTTTCAAGCCAAAACCAATCATTGCGACGAACAATGGCCGTCACAAAGACAGCAAGACTTCCTGTTCACGGAAATTTGTTTTCACCCGTGGATGCCTGACATCGCATTCACCTGACGAAGTGCCTGATCATCCACATGGTCAAGAAGCGAAAAACCGAGCATCTTCGCCAGAACAACCTTCTTCCTCTGCTGGCATCCACTACAACTTCCGTCACCTGTCACCCCCGAACCCGCACATCGCTAATTTCAACATAATGGAAAGAGCAGCAGAAAAAATCAAAAGCAATAATGTTATTTCATTTCGACAAAAACTACAAAATGAAGCACTCGTAAAGAAGCTCCGTACTACCAAAAAAAGAATTTTCGAACAGAATGTAAAACTAAGTATACATTCGCATCACTTTTAACCATGTTCTGCATCATTTAAATTTATCGAAAATGTCGACCTACCCTCGACTCAGGGCCACCAAATCCTTCACGCGACAGTGATTGAGGCTCGAGGACGGGATGCACCACTGTTGACATACCTTGTCGTGGTTGTATTGTCACTGCTGGCCGTGACACGCTTGCGATTTGAGAACCGTTTCTGAAACGTGCGCAATTTTCAAAAAAAACTTTTACAACCCTCAAATATTCGATTAAAAACTGCTAAACTAAGTAAACTAAGGGACGACGTACAGGCAACACAGGCACGCTTTAGACGCGACAAAAGCTTCGTCACTGAATTTTCGATGACATTTAGAAAAATACATCGCCATTCTGAAGTTAAAAACCATACCCAGCTGAAGCTGCAACCACAGGTGATAACTCGGGTTCTGCTAATAAGCGATACTCGTTGCTTGTTTGTTGAGCAGATGTTCCGGCGAATTGGTCGCTCGGCGTGCCACCACCAATCGGCACTCGCCTCACAGACTGTAACATATTCGTTGAGATTCCGCGCTTTCACGGGAAAACTTTACGAATTGTGGAGTTTCAGTGATATCACATCAAAAGTATCCGAAGTATAAACTCAATCATCAAAAGTATTTTGGAGATTTGTACCTAAAAACTGCCTGTGAAGTATTTGCTGCACTTCTCCACAGAGCACTTATCCTTCTTTTTTACGATTATGCAGGAATCTTTTGCTTTACGATTGCTTGCTCAGACTAGGATTAGTCAATAATTTCATATCGCAAAATTAAAGCCTCACACAAAGACGGAATTAAAAAAAAAAAAAAAACTTACAGGCTGTACGGTTAGCCGTTCACCACGAGGATATTCCGCAGGTCTGAAATGTGTGGTACGCAACGATGTTGGTTCGGGCGAGGGCTGTGCTCCGGAAGCACCAGTCTGATTTATCATGGTCATTCCTCGCTGCAATTTCACTTTTTAATTAATCACTGCGAAGCGTGAATCCTTTTCAAAGTACAACTCTGATTTCAAAGTACAAAAGCATGGCACAAAACTGTTTCTAAAACAGACTGTATACCGAAGAAGATCTCACAATCTTTCACAGGCCGCACTGAGACGCTAATCGACAAGCTAGACTGGGAAGGTCATTCGAACGTCAATTAAGATCAGCTAAACGCAAGGAAGGAAAAAATTCGTTCATTTAACGAGCAAAATGCCGAGGCGGATCAAGGTACAAAACAAGAATGTATCTAAAACTCAAATTATCAAAGTTCAAGTGACAGACGTAGGAAGTATGAAAGAGAGAGATCAAACCGCAGGAAGATGTGAACCAAGAAACGAACATGTATCGTATTATTGTTCGGTAACAGCATGTTGAGGGGATGGCTCAAATTCCTCAGCAAAATATCCTCAAATATGCTTAAAGTATTCAACACAAAGATCATGCCTCTCCTATTAATGTCATTAAATTCAATGACGAAAACAGAATAGCAAAGACTGGATGGGCCAAAACAGGCCAAGAAACAAAGAAATCCTATCCATCATAAATTAATTAGTTATTCAACCTAATGAATGCGGAACATCACTGCAAACACAACAATCACTGGCGATGCGCACCACGTCGACTGGTGCGATCATGCGTTCTTGCATTATTTCGTGCTGTGGTAAGATCGATTGGAACCCCCAGTAGCTAGAATTTGTGAAATACTGGTCTTTGAAGTTCAGGAAGTTAATTGTGCAATTACATGGTGTGTCAGTTGTTGACGTTGACTTCGGTGACCAACAAATAGAAAATTGCTAGTGCACGAAAAAACCGAATCAGGAATACAATCATTCCCTGTAGGCACTGCTTTTGCTGCGGTGGAAGCGCATATCGCTCGTATAATGCTATAATGCAGGTCCGAGTAATCATCGGAAGCGTGTCTGTACGTGAGACCTGGACGGTTCTAAGGAGCTGAATTTGAAACCATTCAGTCAAACATAAGTAGGGGGCATTCCTCCAGTTTTAGCTTCTTAGCTTTCTCGTTCCTGAGTTAGCAATTTTCCCGCCATGATTTGCACGTGCAAGCATATGAGATCTAGGAGGTTCTATACAGCTGTATTTAAAATCTTTTAGTCGTACATAAGGAACAATCTTCCAAAACTTCAATTTTTTAGCCTTTTTCGTTCTCGAGTTAGTGGCTTTTTCGCTAAAATTTTAAAATGTCCGTACATGAGACCTAGACGTGCGTGACAGTTGATATCACGTTCCTGAGATCTCGCTTGATCAGGGAACACACTGGCAAAATTTGAGCATCAAAGCCTGCGCGGCCGTTGAGTAAAAATACCTGGACAGACAAATACACGCATACATAAACATACACACAGAGGCGATCGCCGCACAATGCACTTTTGCTGCTTGATGCAGCGCTCCAGCGCTGCACAGGAAAAACACATAAAAATTAACTCTAACATAAGTGCACACACTAAGGAGATGACATGCGAACACAGCGTAGGTGCCGCATACTAATAAAATGGCATACCGTTCTAAACACAAGAGCTTGATAAAGCTGCGCCCAACGTATACCCTGCCCGTCTATGTGTGTGTGTGTGTGTGCGTTTGTTTGTGTGTATGTATCCGAGCGTATTCAAACCTAAGAAGCTAAATTCAGCTCAAGAACCAAAAAAGGCAGGGAAATTGAAATTTTAGGAGGACGCTTCATCTCCACGTATAATCAATTAAATTTAAATTCTTATGCCTACGTTCCACGTATGATCACATGAAAGTCTTGGTGAGAAAATCTGGTAATTCGGAACTAGAAAAGCTAAGAAGCTAAATTCCGAAAGGTTATTTCATGCCTATGTGCGATTTTAGAAACTTAAATTTGGCTTCCACGCATGCCTATCTCTCACCTGCGACTACATGTAAGTTATGGCGGGGAAGCTGAGACTTCCGGAGCTGAGGCTTCCGGAGGATGTTACGTACTCATGGGCGTCATCAAAAATATCAGATTTAACTTTTACGTACGTCCAAACCCCAATTACGAGTACGTGAATGTTTTGTCGAGGAATTTTCTAGACCGAAAAACAGACAAGACAGAAAACTGAAGCTTCAACACTTCCCTAAATTCAGCTTCTGTTTATGTTTCACAGGTTTTGGCCAATCAAAATATTTCGACGATTTCTACACAAATCAAGCAATAAAGCAGCGAACATTTTCAACAGCAAACTTCCGCTGAATAGGACTGCATGAAATGCGTGTGTGTGCAGGTATTTGTTTTTTGGGTGGAGATTTAGACAATCTTTGGAT